CTTCTATGCCGACTGCTTCGAAATAGAGAGACGAGATAGAGACACTAGCGATTTATTTCTAGAGGGCATCCAGTTTGATAGTTCGGCAACAACAAGTGAGCACGTGTAAAGTTTGGGAATTTTTTTGTAAATATTTTAAGGGTTAAATTTTTTTTGCGTACACTTTTTGGTGTCTTTTACAAAACGCTACATACAACTCTTGTTTTAGAAGTTACCTTTTTTATTTTCATTTTGTATACAAATTGTATTATAGCATAGTAGAAATGCCAAACAAATGTCGAAAGATATTTACATTTAACAATATTTCTGAAAAATAACGTTTGAAAAAGTCAAAAGCAATGTGTCATAAAACGTTCAGGAAGATGCGTTAGGAGGAGGACAATGTTTCATTTCTTTCTTGTGTTCCTTCCCTATTTCAGATTAACCCTATAAGTTTTATTTCTTTAAAGTTTATTTTTGTTATTTATAAACGTATAGAATTTATTTGCAGTCTATTACACTGCTCTATCAAAAAGGAAAAAAAATCGATCAAATTGACCTGCCTGGACAAAATATATATACAAAATGTACATTTAACGAAAATTCGCCCATATACATTTTTCGACGCGGACGACGATAACATTAATTTTTACATATTTCTCTGCCATAAACCAAACATTATATTTCTTATAACTGTTATATTTATTTATGTTCTCTGCTGTGCCGAAAGTAAAGTTTATCAATTGTCAGTAAATCACAAATCATAACCTTGCGTAACCATTGTCACTTTCTGCTGCTACTGAGGCGCATTCCAATTTCACTGTGCGTCAGTACTGAATAAATTACGGAACGGTCCTTTTCCGCTACTGTTGCGTCAGTACTGAATAAATTAAGGAACGGTCCTTTTTCGCTACTGACAGTAAAATTACTTATAGTAATGGCAGTAAATTACGGAACACAACCAGTATAACATCTTTGTGTCATCCGCATAAGCGTGCATATGCACATATTTAGTTTGATCAAATAAATTTGCAGTGTAAAGCATAAAGTATAAAGAGTAAGTCCGAGAATGGAGCCCTGCGATACTCCGGATGGTACAAGGCAGGAAGACGAATGTTGTGTTGTGTTTTTTAAGCGTACTTTTTAAGATCTTTTTGTCAAATATGAGTGAAAAAACTGACAAGAAATTAGCTCGAAACCATAACAAAGAAAAGAGTGACTTATCTTATCAAAGGCCTTAGAATAGTCCAAGGAGACCAAAATCGCAGCTTGTTTCTTATCCAAGGCTTTAAAAATATTATCAGTAAGATCCAAAAGGCATGAGGTTGTACTATGGTTTTTTCGAAAGCACGATTGATTTACAGGCAGAATACCGTTTTTGTCGAAATATTCAACAATTTGAAAATTAACTATTTTTTCCAAAACCTTGGAAAATACCGGTAACAAACTAATGGGCCTAAGGGTTTGGGTTTTTTGTTTTAGGGACAGGACAAACAATAGCTTCCTTAAAAATAGTTGCAACTCTCTGAAAAAAAACCGTTTTAATGCAGCAATTGATTATGTTTGTAATATATTTTAAAATATTTGGAAGACATTACTTGATACCTAATGATATATTATCGGTGCCACATGCATTGAAGTTTAATTTTGCTATTAGTTTATAAACATAACTACAGTCAACAAGAGAGAAAGAGAAGGAAATATTATTTTTAAAATAATACTTTTGTAAAAAGATAAAACTTCTGGATTTACTTCAGTTGTATTATAAACTGACATAAAATAATCATTAAATGATAGTTGAGTTACTTATATGATTGGCAAATCAGGTCTATTTTACAAATTACTTAAAGGTCATTTAAGCTTTTTCCAGAGGTCTTTAGGACGGTTTTGAGCTCTAAGATATTCTAAATATGCCATTTTTTCCCTTCTTTCTGAAGATAAAGCAAAATTTCGCATTTCTTTGTAATGATCCCAATTTGCTTTAGTTCTATTTATTATATGCTTTAAGTGCCCTTTGTTTTTCCTTAAAAATAATGTTTAATGTATTGGTTAACCAGGGGGCCGAGGGCTTGTTTACACGAACGATTTTTAGAGGTGCATGAGTATTAAATAAATGTATTATGGCTGAGCTTAATACATTTACTTTAGTATTTATATCTTGTAAGTTGAAAATATAATCCAAATTTACACGAGATAAATCTTCTTTAAATTCATCAATGTTTATGTTTTTTAAGTCTCGAAAAGTAATGAATTTTTGTCTACATTTTTGTAAAACAATGTTAAGTTCACAAAACACCAGTTTATGATAGCGGATACGTGTCAAGGGTTCCATAATTTGTAACTAAACTTTCATTATTTATATAAATTGGATCAATTAGAGTAGCGGAATTTCCTGCAATGCGTGTAGACTCATTTTTAATTTGTACTACCCCATGTAAATCAGTACATGCACTAATAAAGTTGTTTACATTTAAAAGATTTATGTTTATATCCCCCAAAATAATGACCACGTCTGAAGACGACATAGCAATAGGCAAGATATTATCAAATAATTTTATTAATTTAACATCAAATTTAATGGAGGAATTGTAAACAATAATAACAAAAATATTTTGTTTAGCAGTTTTAAATGTAAGACACATAAATTCAATTCCATCAAAATGATACTCAATTAATTGTATTTTTAGATGTGATTTTACGTAAACACCAATACCGCCACCAACGCGACCAGGCCTATCCCTTCTATAAAATTTATAATCTTGAATAAGGACCAAATTTGAATCTATGTTTTTATTTGACCAAGTTTCACTCAAAGCTATTAAATTAAAGTTATTTTGATTAACAATGTTACGAAATAAGTTATTGTTTGTGAATAATAAACGAATATTCAGGTGTGCAATATTTAAATTTTTAAAATTTGTAGTAGGCATTATAGTCCAGGAAACAAAGATTGTAGAAGGAAAACTGGATGGTAGTCGGGTTTTATTTTTTTATGTAGAGTCAGGGGTGCTGATAAGGAATCAAGAATATTCCCCAAAAATTTCTTTCCGCGTCCCCTAATTTCATCCCACGAAAGGGGAGTTTTTTTGCTTTTTGGCTCATAACTCGCTAACCGTGCATTTTTTCAGAATTTGACCTCTAATACTTTTGATTATGTACTAAATAAGGCACACGTTAAACCCCATTGCGCACCTATATGATGTGCCCTTTTGCTATGCGCATTATGCAAAGTAGAGCGTTGCTTTCAAAATCACTTTTTTGTTTTTTTATTATAGCCCAATTTTAAAAGGAATCGATCCCAAACCTTACGGTAATCAAACATAACCGAATGGACGATTTTTTGAGGTACTAGGCTTCTGAACCACAACAATTTATTAAAAATCCATTTTTTACACTTCTAGTTTTTAATATAGACACGTTTAGTTCCTGTGGGTTGATGTTTGATTTGATTTCCTTAATCATAGATTCGTTTTCTACATTAGACTTAGACCTTTATCGAGTCGCGGTTTTAAACCGTAGCGCTATAAGAAGGCACCTTTGATCATTACTTAAAATTGAATTATTTAAATTCTTTAAATGTTCCAAATTTTCCTTTTGTAAATCAATAGTATAAGTTTGATCACTTACTAATATTTTTAACAGCTCAACTTTTCTTTTTAGGCACTAATGTTCTTTTTGCAAGATCTCCTTACCCACATCTTTTATTCTATTATTACTAGACTTATCAACGCACGATTTGCACTGCTAGTTTAGCCTATCAGCCTTAAACACTTTTGCAATTGATTCAAAACACTTGGAATGAATACTACATTGACAATTTGTGCATCTAATGCCACCAGATCTAATCATGTCCACAACACTTAAGTATTAAACTACAATTATGTTATTAACGCACACCACAAAAGTTGTAATTAGTAATTACCCTGCTGAAGAAGACGGGCAATATCCGATGATTGCCCATAAAAAGCCAAGTTAGTTTTATGTCCATATATATCTGTTTTCATCCGACATATCTGGATGTCGGTTTTCATCTGCAAATGCGGGTATAAATATTACCCGCGAACGTCGGGTTTTATCTATTTAATTGTATGTCTGCTTTCGTCTGGTTTCATCTGCAAATACTTGTATTTGGGTTTATATCTGCATTCACCCGTTTTTATCTGCAAGTACCTGCTTTCGTCTGTTTCTACCCGTTTTTTTCTGCGTTTGCCTTCATTTACTTCTTTGCCTGCTTACGTCCGGTTTCATCCCCGATTATCTGATTTTATCCAGTTTTACTGCTTCTGCTTCGGCTTCATCCGATTTCACCTACTTTCATCCGCGAACGTCTGCATTCATCCGTAAATATCTACTTTAATCCGCAAAAGTCTGCTTTATCCGATTTCACCTGCAAACATCTGCTTTTATCCGCAAAGATCTGCTTTTATCTGTGATTGTCTGGTTTAATTCATAAACAGCTGTTTTAAACCGCAAACATCTGCTTTTATCCGCAGACACCTGCTTTTATCCGCAAACATCTGCTTTCGTCAGGTTTCCACTGCAAACATCTGCTTTTATCCGCGAACGTCTGTATTTATTAAAAAGTCCCTGACTGTATGTATACTTAATAAATAAAAAATCACTTAAAACAAACCCACATATCCAACTTATAAAAGTTTGAAATTGTTTAATACAATACAAAATAAATTTGTTAAGTATATACGATGTATTATAGGTATATACTTGCATTAAATGAAAATTAATACCACCGAATAGGTAAGTTTAACATTAAAACCCACGTTTTTCTTTTAAAGTGACTATTTATTTTATTGTTTCAAGATACTTAGGTATTTACATACAAACACTATGAATTTAGTGTATGCTTAAAAGAATAGATTTAAGCTTTGTAACAAAAATATAAATGCACATACGCACATAATATTGAGTGCGACACTTAACCCAAATATTTTTGATTTTATTTTCATGCTGAAAATCTTAACAGGTTTTATTTTACTTCATTAATATATATTTTATTATTTTAGAAACACCTTCTCTAATTAATAAATACGACTTAACATGCAGAGATATTGAAATCCCACCAATAAAAAATGCAAATGGACTTAAAAAGATAATAAATAAGACTGACTTCATTTCTTACATGGTAGTTAAATATGTGTGTCATGATGGATTTATACTTAAAAATGAACATATTGCAAAAATGTTTTGTAAAGATCAAAAATGGAGAGGAATTAAACCTGTATGCAGCCAAAAAAAACTTTATGATAAAGGTAAGAAATAAGAAATGCAGAGTTTTGAGCAGATGTAGTGTATTAATACCTAGCAATCAAATTAGTAGCTATCAAAGAAATCATTAATTACATACATAGTTTTAAATAGGATTTATTAGTAAAGTAATAAAAAGTAATATTATAGGTTACACATCTTCCCATATGTATCAACAAATTGATGAATGTCCGACAGATTTTAAAATCAAATGTAAGCACCTGTGTTACATGAAATCTGGTGTGCCAACCTGTCGCTGTCTTCCCGGTTACAAAAGACATAATTTTGACTGTGTTGGTAAATATTTTCCCTTTTTAAATTTAAAAACAATAAATAGGGCTAGAAAGTGTCGTCGATGCAATTAGGTTCTTATAATATAATTTAAATTACCACATATTATTCTGTTGAAAAACCAAATCCAAGTATTGTATTTCTTACATTATTTCTTATCACTTAATATAATTATATTATATTTTAATGCCTTAATTATCTAGGGTGTATTCTCATAAAATAATCGAATTTAAAAACCCCACAAAAATACGCCAGGGTGTTAAATTACAGCTTCTTGTGCAAAAATCTTTACATGGTGAAGTTTTAAATACTTATTTTTGGAAAATTTTAAAATACACACATTTTAGTAGCAATCATCAACAAAACATACTTTATTTTAATTAAAAAAATATTTTTGACAGAAGAAACAATTAAAATTAAACAAAATAAAGTTAATTGTATCTCCTTATGGAAGAGTTTTATAGTTTTGGTTTTTAAGTTAAGTTAACTTAACCTAAAAACCAAAAATTTTCCTATTTTTTTATGGTTTTCTTAAATTATACGCTAAAGAAGAATCAAGTTTTCGCAACGCGCGCGCCTACTGGTGGCGCTTGATAGCATATGCTATCGAGCGCCACCAGTAGTAGTAAGTAGTTACCTTGCTCTTCAATTATTATAATATTATAATAATTGAAGAGCAAGGTTTGTCAACAACACATTTAAAACATACGAACTGCACATAATTTTTAAATAAATACTACCTAAGTAGTTTTTCGCAAAAGAGAGAAAGGTCTTACTCGAGAAATTTTGTTCGCAAAGTTGCAATATGTGTTTTTTCCTACTGAAAATGCCACTTTATTTCATTCATTTTCTTTGAGGATATAATTCTTATAACCTTCTTCCTCATAATCATATATTGAAGGGAATTTTCAAATTTTCTACAGTGAAATTTTATTATGAATTGATAAAAAAAGCGCGATTTTTGCAAAGCGACTGCGATTTAACTGGTCTTTCTATTAGTTGGATTGCAATGTAGGTAGGTATTTCAAGAACTAATCCAATGTTGCATTTTCATGTTTTGCCAAAGGATACAATTCAGTACGTATATTGTTGGTGCAGAATTAACTAATGATTACTTTTCCTAATATAATTTATATTTAAGTTTGGACATTTTTAAGAGATCTCTCTAACACAAAATTATACAAACAAAACCTTAAAATCAAACATTTTTATATTTGAGTTCTCTAAATGCAAACGCCGAAAACTGCATTTTGAATTAGTAAAAGACAAAATATAGGTATACATGTTTTCTTGGCAACATTATTATAACAATATAAAACTGGGAATAACAATTTTTTGTCTTTTACTTGCATTATGCCTTTTATTGGAAAACTCGAAAACACCCAACAACCCAACAAATCGTTCCACGGTTTTTTATATAAATATTTTTAACATTTTCTTGACTCATTTTCAAAAACACTAGTTGGAACGTAGGTACGCTTTTGACAGTTGCTACTGAGTAGCTGCTACTCTTCTGTTATAATTGTAGCATTAATGATACGTGGTGGCGCCACTAGCGATGCTACTTTATTTGCTTTTAAAATGTAATTTTAAATATGTAAACAATGTTTAAAATCAAATTTTTGCCAGCTTAATTTTTCCGTAAATTAAAAAAAAAATACATTACCCATTTTACATATTATTCCTATTGATTTTAAAACACTACACATTATTCTCAAACATATCACCTCCATTGAAAATCTCTTAAAAAACACCAATTTTTGATTTTAGATATAGATGAATGCAATACTAATAACGGAGGGTGTCACGAAAAGTGCATAAACACACGGGGTTCTTTCAAATGTACGTGCCCATCAGGTTTCCGTCTTAATTCGGACAGAAAATCCTGCGAAGATATTAACGAATGTTACCTTAGAAATGGACATGGTCCTTGCCAGGATACCTGTCACAATACACATGGTGGTTATAAGTGCAGTTGTGAGAATCTTAAGGGTACACGATTGGCTAATGATAATCACACGTGCAGTGATATAAATAAATGCACTGGAGGGGGTTCAGGATGTTCGCATAGTTGTATTAATGCTCATGGAAAGGAGTTTTGCACTTGCCCTGATGGCATGAAATTGGGAAATGATTGGAAAACATGTAAAGGTAAATTATTAAAAAACTATTATTCACCTACATTATACGTACAAACATTTCACACAACCTTTTCATTTTACTATAAACACAAAATAACTAATTTTGTATTGTAAAAATATAAACTATTTTAGATATTAATGAATGTACGGACCCAAAAATTATTAAAAGCTGCAAATTTGGATGTGTAAACTTTATAGGATCATACGTATGCACAAATACCGACTTAATGTTATCAGATGAGCCCCAAACAGATAACGAAACAGTTAACGAAGAAGATTATGAAGAAGAAGACTACGAAGACAGTGAAGATTACGAAGAAGATTATGAAGAAGATAGCAAAAAAGAAAACGAAGCCCAAAAGGAGAACGAAAATACAAAAGAAAGTGAACAAGAAATTACGTATGAAAATGAAAAAATCACTAAAGATACTGCAATACCCATAACAACAGCAGGTTCTGATAGTAAAGATAAAAACATTAAAAGCATTTTGACAACACAAGCAAGCATAGATATGGATACTGTAAGCCCCATTTCTTCTACAACTGTATTTACAACTACAACAACCAAAAACGCATTGAACACCAAAAGTGAGGAACGGGATCCAGATGATTACGAAGGTGAAGATTACAATGAAGAAGATTATGAAGATGAATATGATGAGGAAGAAAAAGAAACGTCTATTAAAAATGTGCCTAAATGGGAAGATAATATACCTGTTCCTTCACAAGATAATATTTTAATAGAAACTAACATCACCCATACAGCCAGTTCTAGTTCTCAAAAAGAGACTAAAGAAGAAATTCCGAAATTTGACGATGATTATGATGAAGAAATTAGCACGAAAATAAAAAGTGATTTATCACCTCTGGAATCTACTAGCACCACAACTCAAATTCCAACACCAAGTTCGTCTTATGTACAAATTGTTACTGAGCCAAATTTGTTAACAACTACATCAACTGGGGGTCCAATTTCCGAAGTATATGATAAAGTAAATAAAGAAAGTAAAGAAAAAGAACAGGAAAAGGAATACGACGAATACGAAAAAAATGAATCTAAAGAGGTAACAACAACTACTAGCATTACAACAGTAATTACGCAGTTATCTACTAATATAACAACTACATCAACAGAAGGTCCTATACCTGAAGTATACAATGCAATAAAAAAAGAAGGTGAAGATAAATCTGATAAAAATAAAGAAGATTATGATATGACTACAACTAGTGCCACTACCAGCACCAGTACTAAAACGAATTCTCCAATAACAGTACAACCAACATCCGATATATTAGGACCTACAACAGATTATAAACCACATCAAAAAATTGATTATGAAGAAGGTTCGGACTATGAGGAAGAAGACGAATTTGATGAAGATTACGAAGAAGAAACTAAAATCAATAAACCAAATCTTCCATATAATAATAATAATGAAAATAAGAAATGCAATCCAGGTTTTCAGTTAAGTGCTAAAGGGGAATGCAATGGTTAGTATAATTATATTCAATACTTTGTATAAGGTATGTGTGAAATTAAAAAAAAATAAATTAAAACTTATATGTTTTTAGATATTGATGAATGTAAAGAAGGTCTTCATAAATGTTCAGACTTTTGTGTTAACACTCCTGGTGGTTACGGGTGCAACTGCCCTGATGGTTACGAGATATCCAAAGAAGACCCATACACCTGCGAAGATAAAAACGAGTGTCTGGATAATCCCTGCTCTCACGAATGCGTCAATGAAGATGGCACCTTTAGATGCACATGTCCTACCACGCTGACCTTACAAGGCACCAAATGCGTAAACCAAACATGTTCCCATGGCGAAACAAGGATTAATAACGTCATCAAATGCACATGCCCTGAAGGTTTTGTTTTGGGGCCAGATGGTCGAACTTGCGAAGATATCGATGAATGTATGTCGCAAAACTATTGCGCACAATTGTGCTTAAATTCTATCGGCTCATACGAATGCAAATGTGATGCTGGTTTTGAATTACACAGCGATGGAAGAACGTGTTTGGATATTGACGAGTGCCAGGGAAATCATGGATGCCCTCAGACATGTAAAAACGAATTGGGTGGCTTTAAATGTGTGTGTAAAGAAGGTTTTGCATTTGACAAAGATTCGAATAAATGCATTGATATTGATGAGTGCAAAGAAAGAAATATGTGCCAGCAAATTTGCGAGAATTATGAGGGTGGTTACGAGTGTTTGTGTCATCCGGGATACACATTGGCCGGAGATGATTCCAATTGTGTTGATGTAGACGAATGTCTACTTAACAATGGTAATTGTAGCCAAAAATGTGTTAACACGAATGGAACATTTCACTGCAATTGCCATGATGATTTTGCTTTAGACAAAGATAATAATACATGCATTTCAACCGACCCATGTGCTAATGATAATGGAGGTTGCTCATATAAATGTGTAAATAAGAACGGTGTCGCTGAATGTATGTGTCCGGATAATTTTGAGTTAAAACAAAAAAATTGCGTTCTTATCAACCAATGTACCATTAATAACGGTAACTGTTCACATTATTGCGAATTTATAGATGCCCAAGTTCAATGTTTGTGTCCAGAAAATCATATTTTGGAAGGCAATACATGTATAGAAAAAAATCTTTGCCTTGAAAATAATGGCGGTTGTTCCCATTTGTGTTCTTTTGAAAATCATACAATAACATGTATGTGTCCGAATACCCATGAAATGCATAATAAAACTCACTGCAATGAAAAAAATCCTTGTCTTATAGAAAATGGTGGTTGTTCTGATTACTGTAACCATTCTGAAGGAAAAATAGTATGTAGCTGCCCAGAAAATTATTATTTGGAAGGTAAAACTTGTTATAAAATAGACCCGTGTCTAACAAATAATGGTGGTTGCTCACATGAATGCAATTTCAATGAGATGAATGATGTTGTTTGTTTATGTCCAAAAAACTATAACTTGGTTAATAAAACTTGCTACCTTAACGACCCATGTGCTGTAAATAATGGGAATTGTACGCATCTATGTATAAACTCAAATGGCATATCAAGCTGTAAATGTCCCGAGGGTTGGAATCTAAAAAATATAACTCATTGTGAGCAAGAAGACGCGTGTAGGATGGAAAATGGAGGTTGCTCTGATATCTGTGAATCTATTAAAGGAAAACCAAAATGCTCATGCCCCGATAAATATATTTTAAAAGACGAAATAAATTGTGTTTTAAGAGATCCATGCAGCATTAATAATGGCGATTGTTCGCATATATGTTCCAACATTGACTACAAAGCAATTTGCTCTTGCCCGGAACATTTAATATTAAATAACTCAATGAATTGTATTGAATTGGATCCTTGTAATGAAAATAATGGGGGTTGTTCTCATACATGCATAAGTAAAAATAATGTTATGGAATGTTCTTGTCCTCAAAATTATACGTTAAAGGATAAAAATTGTGTGCAAAAAAACGATTGTTTTATAAACAATGGAGGCTGCTCTCATAAATGCGAAGTAATCGACGAAAAAATACAATGTTTTTGTCCTGATCGTTTTAATTTAATTAATAACACTGTATGTGTAGAAGTCAATCCTTGCCTAATTAATAACGGCGGGTGTTCGCATGAATGCGTTTCAGAGGGTTCTGAAGCGTATTGTCTCTGTCCGGAAAACTACGAACTAAAAGAAAAACAATGCATTATGATTAATCCATGTAACGATAAAAACGGTGGATGTTCACACGTGTGCAACAGTATAAACGGACAAGTTATCTGCAAGTGCCCGCCAGGATACGAATTAATAAATAAAACATGCTTTAAAGTTAATCCTTGTTTGCTCAACAATGGAGGTTGCTCTCATAGATGTGAGAATATAGATGGAAAAGCCACTTGTGTTTGCCCCCCTGGATACCACTTGTATGGCAAAACTTGTTTAGATGAAGATCCTTGCACAAAAGCTAATGGGGGATGTTCTCATTACTGTCACAATAAAGATGGTAAACGAGAATGTTCCTGTCCATCTGGATACATTTTAAGACCCAATAGACGCATATGCAAAGAAGTTAATGAATGTCGCATTAACAGAGGCGGATGCTCTCATGGATGTAAGAATTTACCAGGTAGCTTTGAATGTTCTTGTCCCATTGGTTATAAATTAGAATCAAATGGCAAAAATTGTACTGATATTAACGAATGCTTAAAGAATAAAGGAAACTGTACAGGACAATGTACAAATTATCAAGGCGGCTACAGGTGCGAGTGTGACCCTGGTTATGTTTTACAAAGAGATAGACATACATGTAAACAAGTATTTTCTTTCAAAAGCTGTAGAATAACAACTCCACCACAATTTGGACTTTTAAAATGCAAAAATATTGATAGAATGGATTATGGGTCCATAGTTCCTGTAGGAACTGAATGTAATACTTGGTGTAAAGAAGGTTACAAGTTAAGTGGAAATGCTTTAACTGTTTGCAAAAATGATGGTACCTGGGGTACAGAAAGGGCATACTGTATACGTAAGTAATATACCTTAATAAAATATAATTTTGTTCTAATGTAAATTTATTTATTTTAGCTGCAACATGTCCTCAATTACCAACTATTAAAAATGGGTGGTTTGTGCCAGGCGTATGTAATACAGGAAAAGTGTATCCTGGTGAATCTTGTCATACATATTGTCGTAAAGGATACAAACCTAATCATTCTGTAACATCATTTTTATGTGACGAAAATATGTCTTGGCAACCATTGCTATCTTTAGAACAGTTAGATTCGGCTTGTATTAGAGGTATATCTAAAAAATATATAAAACTAAAGATATAATAACTATTTGTTTTAGATATTCCACAAACCTATATCAAATGTCCTGGAAATGGTCAAATAAGTTTTAATCTTCCTTTTGGACGAAAGCATATGATAGTTCAAATTCCTAGACCAGAATCAAATGTTGATTGGAGAACGTATGTTTACTGTAAATGTTTTTTCCTTTACATATATTTTTTTTAAATTTGCAGAGACGTTTCCTCAAATCCATCATGGGGAATGGATCTAAAAACAACATTGCCCTCAGGTCGTACAGAACTAACATTCTATGCTCACACGCCTGGAACTAGAAATAGTACAACATCTTGTCATTTAACTATTAATGTAAATGATAAAGAAAATCCTAGGATGTACAATTGTCCTCAAAACATCGAAACCGTATTGGAGCGTGGACAATCTTCCAAATTGATTCATTGGGAGGAACCTAAATTTGAAGATAATGTTGCCGTTGCTACCGTTTACAAATCAAGAGAACCTGAAACTGAGTTTGGAAAAGGCTTGCACCATGTTAACTATGTAGCTAGCGATGATGCTGGAAATAGAGCTTTTTGCCATTTTACAGTCAACGTTAAAGGTATTTTCTCTTTTACATATTAAAACAGATATTTAATTATTAAAGTTTTTAGAAGCAATAGAATCCCGAATCTCCAATACATTACCTGTAGAGCCATTTGATCATAGAGGTGAAAGGTACAGGGCTGTTTTAATATGCCCTAGTGGAGTACAATACATGTCCAACTCACCAGATAATTATGATGTATGTATTTATCTTTATTTGTAAATTATATAAAATATCAAATTATTTTTTAGAATATGATAACCAGTGAGGCTGGTTGTAATTGGCGTCATATAAGAGTTACAAAACCTATAGAACCTCAAAATTACAGTGTTACCAAAGTTTTGGATAAAAGTAGAATGCCAACCCATGTGAAACATAGACGTAGATATTTTACTTGGAGAAGATAAATTAAAACAAAATTATATTGCTATTAATGTAAAAATCGTTTAATAACATTTTAATATGTAAATTATTTTAGACCGTATAAATGTTTATTTATAAATCAGGTTTAAACTACTTTAAAATACTCTACATTCATAACATGTTTAATAAAAGCGTATTTTAAAACAAGTAGATTTTTTTAATCCCCTAATTATTTGTCAATCAATTAATATACTATTTTGATCCATAAACATATTCCAGTCAAACCGTGGTGAAAAATGGCCAAACCTTGCCTGCCGAGGCATTATCTGTTTTTTTTCATGAATCGGCTTATTTTAAGCTTAAAAGCACCACCTTACAAAGATATACGCAAAAATACATTTTTTAGTTTAGCAAATATCACAATAAAAAGTAAAAAAGCAAAATTATTTTAATAAAATTTCCATTAATTTTGGTCCAGTATTTTTTGTTTAAACAAATGAGTAAAAAATTTAGTTAGTTTAAATGAAAAAATTGTTTTTTTTTTCTCACTCTTTTGCAAATATTTTGTAAACGGTATATTTTATGATGAATTATTAGTACGTATTAACATTTATTTCTTATATGTTTATGATGGCCATTTTTCAGATTTGCTGTATCTTGTTAGAGATCAAACATATCTCTTTATTAGAGTAAATGGCAATCTATCTAAAGTTTAAACATATTTTTCTGCAAGAAAATTTTCAAACAGCGAAAAATTTTAACCCGTTCTTTCGACAGCCGCACGTTGCGCCGCATTGATTCGTACACCATCACGAAATGATGTCGATAAGTGATGATGGTTTCGTTTCCCTGACTCAGAGGTCATCATTGCGTACACAGCTTTAGTTCACTATTCTGACTCAGAGGTTATCATTGGCTTAAGCTTTAGCCCCTATTTTGGATCTAAAACATTCGCCAACCATGCCTGCACCGGATGAAATGTTCAAAAAAGAATGGTGTTCAGCCGCCCATTCTGTAGGTGGTAATTACCACTCATACTCATTTAAATGAGTGAGATCGGATTTAATTTTCACAATTTGTCCACGAGAACAGCTTCAATAAAAAATAATCTAGATATTTTTTGTTACTTTCTTCTTCATAAAGCGTAATGAAAAGTTTTACCCTGTTGAAGAGCTATATTGTTGTAGCCAGGTTTTTTATTTTTTATTTTAAAAGCTGTAACGGTTTCAAGAGGTTATAACCCTATAGGGAAACATTTACATTGCCCTATATAAAGGACAAAGCAATAAAACAACTCTAGATCATTTCCGGCCATGGCTTTGCAAAGCTGTTCTTGTGCACGAATGGTGAATATTAAACACAATCTCGCTAATTTGCCACCCACACAATCACCGGCTGAAAATCATTCTTTTCGAACATTTCATTCAGGCATAGTTGGGGAAAAGTAAAGCTAAAAACTTGTGACGATCTCAGGAGGGACAGTCGACACCATTTCGCGGCGCAGCAGTAGAAAAGCCGGTTTAAAATGTTTTGTAGTTTGCAAAGCCGGGAATAAATCCGGTATATTGAATTTAGGTAAATACCCAAGGTATGTATCCGGTAAGTACCCAATGGGTTAATTCAGGTTGTATTCAATTTGGTATTTACCATATACCCGGTATATATACCGGTATATGGTAAATACCAAAGTATTGCTAGTTTGTTACATTAAGTTTAACAAATTGTAGTTACATTAAGAATGAAAAGTAATTGAATAAAATAAAGTTAAAAAATACATGTTAATTGAAACAAAATAAATACAAAAAAAGTAAGTTAAAGAAACAAAATATTTTTTATAAATTTTAATGCCTAATGGCATTATTTTTAAATTAAAAAATATTTCTTTATAAATTATGTAATTATGTATATGTAATTTTCGCCTGGGTATAGGTATCCTCAGGATTATTTTTGCACATTATTTTTTTTAATTTGAAATTTGGTAACGCCCAGCAAAAAAGGAATACCCTGTATAAATAAAAATACCTAATATTTTGAACTCTTGTTTCCTACAATTTTTTTTCGATTCCAGTAGTTTTTAAGATAAGTAAATGGTGACCATCTTACGTGGAGTAAGTAAGTAATTAATATGCAACAAATTAAATAATTATAACACTTTTCAAGCAGCGCCCTGAAGCACAATAAATGTCTTGTTTCCACTTTTAGGAGTAAATTTACCACAAACCGTGGGAAGAATTCCCGACAAACATTTTCACCGTTTGTGACCAGTAAATGTCTGCTTATTGTCCACTAAGACGCAAATAAAGTGTCGGACATATTCGACACAAGTCCGACGAAAGTGTGGACGAAACCCAGTAAGCACCAAACACTCGGCAAACAGTCGGCCTTCGCTCGGCATAGGCGGTTGACCAGCGGTTCGGCTTGCCGCTAGTCGTCCCGCTTATGGCCCGCGTTATGTTAGCCCGGTACCGTTTGGCCATGTTCTAACTAAAGTAGGCCAGAATACGGCATGCCGCTGCAAAATCGTTCGGCTTGCCCTAGCCGGCCCGCTTACGGCTGGAATACGGCCTGCCGCGGCATAAGCAATACATCTCACGGCTGCTTACGCAAGCGAGCTAACTATAAATAGCGATGGGTTGCAATATTTAGTTGGAAGTGTGCGTCTGTAATGGCAACATTAATAGTTTGAAGTCTCCATCTCCATCCTCATCTGCTCAGAAACGAATAATGGCTAGCTATAGTCGAGTGTGAAACCAATAGGATATACCTATCCAGGACGTCTGAAGGCTTTTTTGAATGGCCAGGCTGTTGTGGCCGGCACTCGGCAAACTATACACAGCCGACACTCGGCCGAGTAAACATAGCCGACATTCGGCCAGGCGGACATGCCCGGCCTACACGCCGGAACAAATACATGTGTCGGGACGCACAAAAACGTATTCGGACCGTATGCGGGCCGGCTAGCTTGTGCTTACTGGGAAGTCTGAATTGCCTTGGCACATGACATGTGTAACATTGGCACATGACATGTGTAACATTGTGTCTTTGTACCAATGGCGTCCGGACGCAAAAGCGCGTCGCATGCCGTTGGATAATTAATTAATTAGGCAACATTACGTTTACATGCGTAAGGCACAATATGTACACCATTGTATGTCACTTTGTGGACATTTTGTACGGCTCAATGCGGTCCCTCGTGTACGCCATAATTTGCGATTTTATTTAAAAAGAACTACAGTTGATTTTTTTTATCTGGACTCTTGTTTTTTTGTTAGGTTAGTGGCTTATGCCAGTTTGACTGTATTTTAGTAGGTATTTAAAAATGGTACTTCTGCTAAAGAATTTAATTAAATACATTGACACTGTCAAATTGACAATAATATTTATTATTGAAAATTTAAATTAGTAATTACTTGTCAATTATAAATAAAAAGATAATTATGCCAAAAATAAGCAACGAATTCGAATGTAAAAGCCCTTTTGAGTGCAAAACTTCATTTTGATGAAATTATGCCAAATGCCACAAAGGAAGAAAAAGTACATCGCCTTATGGACATTTTTGGAGTAAAAAAGTAACAAATTTGTTTTTATAAATATTACATCACACTACTTTAAGGTTTGCAACAATACGTTATATTATTCTTTTTTTCGAAAACGGTTCATTTTATTGACAATAAACAATAGTACCTTTATTTTAGTTTAAGTTTCAAGCTATGCAGATTTAGTTTTTTTAAGCATTAAGAAGTAAAACTTAGTCCGCCCCTGTTAAACAAAAAAAGCAAAACATGTTTTAATGACTTTTCTGGACCCATGTCTCCGTAAGGATGGCCAGTAGGAAAAAAATTTATAGGAACGTGTCATCTTATTTTTTCATGTTCTATCTGAATCCGAGAGAATTCCCACATTTTCCCGGACACCCTGTATACCAATTTTTCGAAAATTGTCGTTATTCCCCAGTTGTCCAAAAAATGAGTAATAGTGGATTCTTTGACTTACGTCTAATTTTGGGAATACGATATTATGCACATAGCATTATACTACAGGGTGTTAAAAAAGAGATGTTTTTTCCAAAATTCCAAATCACCATTCACAGGGCAGTTGAGCTTGATAGTCATAATACCCCTTTCTAATAAGAGGTAATCCCTCGGGACATTTTCGAGATTTTGTGGATATCTTGGATAACTACGATTATATGGCAGTTTTTCGAAAATTCACATTCTTCACTTAAGTCCCAAAAATGAGAAAACTACGGAAGGTATCAACACAGAGTTTTAAGGTAGGTCACGTGCTTCCAGTTTATGTACGTTGCGTGATTTTTTAAAAGTGAAATGTTTCACAAAAAAACAATTTTTTTCAGTTAAATTCAAAATAAAAACTCAAACCAAACAAAATTATTCTTGTAAACTTATAGGCTATATTCAGGCAATTTTCTACAAACGGTTGACTATGAAAGTTTAAAAAATATGGCGCATATCTGGATTTGAGTTTTTTTTTCTTCAATTATTCTTGTCATTTTTGTCGTCGAATATGAAAACATTTTTCAAACAGCAAAACACATTTAAAAAAATTAAATGACGGATGTAAGATTGCATATGCATGGTATATACCACGCAAGACGAAGAGCTGCCTGCCCTCTTTTTCTGCTAGAAGAAGATGGGCACAAGAACATGCAAATTGAAGATACGATGTGTTGATAACTCATCGATACCTTTAGTAGTTTGCTCATTTTTGGGAATTAAGTGGAGTAAACGACAATTTTCGAAAAATTGCTATATAATCGTAGTTAGCCAAGATATCCACAAAATCTCGAAAATGTCCCGATGGATTCCCTAACTGTTATTAGGAAGGGGTATTAGGACTATCAAGCTCAACTGCCCTGTGAATGGGGATTTGGAATTTTGTAAAAAAATATCTCTTTTTTAACACCCTGTAGTATCATGCTATGTGCACAATATCGTGTTTCCAAAATTAGACGTAGGTAAGTCAAAGAATCCACTATTGCTCATTTTTTGGACAACTGGGGAATAACGACAATTTTTGAAAAATTGGTATATAATCGTAGTTAGCCAAGATAAAATGACGGATGTAAGATTGGATACCACGCAAGACGATGTATTGATAACTAATCGATACCTTTCGTAGTTTGCTCATTTTTGGAAATTAGGTAGAGAATAACGACAATTTTCGAAAAATTG